CTGAGGGTTGCGATCCATTGCCGGACAAAAAAAAAAAAAAAAAAAAAAAAAAAAAAAAAAAAAAAAAGCTCGTATGGGTTCTGGGAACATTAGATTGGAATGAGTTCCTTTATCCAAAGCAATCCTAGGGTAGAGCTTTGGTGTGATGACTTGGACCCAATATTAAGACTTTTCCTACCGTGATCATTATAGCTTGGTAAAGGTAATGGAGAATTTTGAATTCAGAACCAGACTGTCCTGTTTTTTAGTAGCAATGATTTTTTTTTTCTCTGCACATCATGCTCTGTTTTGAATTCAGTGCTTCTTCCCAAAAGATGATTTTTGGCCACAGTATTAATGGATATATATATTATGTTTAAGTATGTGTTAATCTTTTATATGCTTAACTTTTTATGAGGTATTCTTAGGAGATTTTGAGGAGGGTCATTTAAATTAAAATAAGGGAATTAAGTTTTTGATCTTATTAGAAGAGGGGAATTTTTCTGGGAGGGGAAATATCTATATAATAAAAGACAGCTGGATAAAATATGTTCCTTGAGGCCCCAGGTTTTTGGTTACCATGGAATTTGGCGGTGATATGAGGGGAGTAGGTTCCCTGTTTAATATCTCTAGTTTTCAGCAGCTACCATTCTCTGAACCTCAAAGCCAGACATAGGAGGTACACCTGGACATTGGCAGCATCCCTGGGGACTGATTTCTGATACTTGTGTAATGTGCGCTTCTCTTTAGAAGTTCTCAATAATTCTCAGTCTGAGAATCAATTATAAAGAAGGGTTGAACATGCTTTTGGATTTCATATAGACAAGACAGGATTATTACCAGAGGCTGGTTTATGGTCCTTTATTTATCTCTGACTAGCTTTGTGACCTAGCCCAGCTTTCTAATCCATTATTTAACCCATAAACAGTTATATCTTTAAAACTAAATGAAACGTTTCAGCTCTAGTGTTTTTAGTTCAGCCCCTACACTTATAGTCTCATGAGAAATTTATGAGTCTACGTAGTTTGTTAAACAGTAGAGGGAAATAAAGTTGAGTAAGTTCAATTTGACTATTTTATGAAAAACCTTGGAAGCTAGGAAAAAAGCATATGGACTTAACGTTGTTGGCATTTTAGAGCCCTGAGTACAGAAATGACATGATATAAGTGGTATTTGAAAAAGAGTAGATTGTTGGTAGTATCTAAACTATATAGGAAAGTGATTGAAAGCAAGGAATGTAATCAGTATCTTATAAATGGATGGAATCAGCTAATATTTGTGTTGTAAGAATGGAGTGAAGACCTGTGCTTAGAAGGTAGTGTGTATATGTTACTAGACTTTAAGTTGAATGAAAATCTCTTGTAACATAATTTAAATGCTATTATTTGAATTAATAAAAATCAGAAAAGTCTTAAAGAAAAACATCAACAATTTTAGATTCAGAAATCATCATCCATAGATAGGTACATTCAGAAATCATAGGATGACTCAGAAGTCACCATTCATGTATTTGAGTCATTCTGGATTTTCATACAATGGCTGCCAACATTTTTTATGACACGGTTACATAAGGGGTGGTAATATTTGTGTGGTACATTGGGGATGAAAGTATGAGCTCCTGGTGCAGTTGGGCGCCAGGGGCAGCTGGGCATCCCAGGCCCTTACAGCAGATGGTTGAGGGAGATCAATTCTCAGCATTGCAGGAACCAGTCAGGGGTACCAGCAGGGAAGCTCTGCCCTAAGGAACAAAGAAAGGCCCGAAGGTAAGAAAATACTTTCCTACTAAAGGCTCTGCCCCTAATCAAGAAGAGCAAGCAGAACTCTTTGAGCAATAGAAAGAAGTGTCCTTCCACCTGGCCTTACCCTCAGTGACCAATCTCTTAGATCACAGGCACCTCTCTCCTTCATTTTGCTGAAATCTCTGTGCTTTCCAGTGTCTGTTCTTTATTATCCTCTCATCACTTTTTCTCACTGGCAGGCCATGCTGTCTATACCACCTTTTAGAAATCATTACTGTTTTTATCTCTCATCGTAAAAGATCAAGCATCCTCTTTTTCAGGGGCTTTTGTACACCTGGCTTGTTCTTGCTGTCCACTCGATCCCTTGTGGGATGCATGACTTTCACATCCACATTGACCACCTAACTCCCTAACCTCATGATTCATCCCCATTCACATTTAACCAATATTATTTTCTTTCTTTGACTCACATAATTTTAAATTTTAATTGAGCTGCCAGTGGGCGAATTAATGCTGTTTGTTTGGTTTTCATTTTTGTTGTTTGTTGTTATGTAAAGTGAAATAGGAGATTCTTAAAGTATAGCTAGGGAAAATTTATAAGTCTAGCAACTCAATACTGAAATCACATGAAAAAACTTTTAAGAGCCCATTAAATACTAATTTTACAAACATTTTCTTTGTAGGTGGAAAAACTGGTGGATTCGTGGAATTCTTACTCTAACTATGATTTTCTTCTTTTCCCTGATCATCTATATGGGATCCTTTATGCTGATGCTTCTTGTAAGTGTTTGACATTTTCCTAAGTGTCTCTTGCTTTGTTTTTCAGTAATTTGAGCACGTCATAAAAAAGATAATTCAAGACTTGGTAACAGCAAATTTAGTTCCTTTAAATGTCTTCTAGTTCATGAAATGAACTAGACTAATCTCCATTAGCAAAATGGTCATTAAGTGTGTTCATTCAGCAGGCACTGAGTATGTATAATAGATACATGTCAATGTATCCAACATTGTGCCAAACATTAGATGTGACAGAAATACACACACGCACATGCACGCGTGCATGCATATACATGACTTCAACATATAAGACTATTGGCTAGATCCCTGACTTCAAGGAACTCAGTGAAATGGCAGAGACATATAAGTAACGATATAAGTGAATAGTGTGGTAAATAGGTGGGGTAAGTCCTCTGATAGAACATGTTAGGAGAGCACAGTAGAAAAGTACCTAATCTAGTCTCAGAGGGAGATGAGGAAGGGCTTCTAGAAGAGATGATAGCAAAGCTGAGTCCTGAAGACTGGACAGGGGAAAGCATTCCAAGGTGGGGACATATGGTCAAGGCATGAAGGTAATGGGAGAATGTGGTCCATTGGAGGATCTGTACGTGTGGAGGGTGTCCAGGGATGAAACTGGAGAAGCAAGTGGAAGCCACTGTGGGAGTTTTAGATTTTGTTGTGTATGGGAAGCTCAATAAACCGTGAAGCCAAATCAGTATTTTAAACTCTTAATTCATTCATGTAACAAATGTGTCCGAAAAGCTTGCTGTGTGCCAGGCATTATGCTAGTTCTGGGGTATGATATGATGGTGCTAAGAAAAACATACCTCTGTCTGCCATCATGGAGCTTACTGTCTATAAAGAATTGATTTTATAAACACACACACAGAAGAGGTCTTCAAAAAGTTCATGGAAAGATTTGTATTATTTTTTAATTATATTTTTCCATGAACTTTTTGAAATGCTCTCTTATACATATAATTACAAACGGCAATAAGCATTTGAAAAAAAGAATAATGCTGTGAGAGCAAAGAGGGAGCTGGGAGCCTTTCCAGAGGCATTGTGCCAAGCACAGGCGTTGTGATCTGAAGGTTGAATGGGTGTCATTGAGGCAAAGGGAGGAGTTTGGGGGAAGGATTGTTACAGGCAGAGGATTCATGTGTACAGAAGCCTTGATATCTGCGAAGAAGGAAGCGTTAGGAGTCCAAGATGGTGGGAGCAAGAAAGAGAAGTGCGTTTGTTCAACAAATGTTATTAGGCACTTACTGGGTACTGGGGATGGTTTAGCAGTGAACGCTGAGAGCTTGCTCTCTGGAGTGTCGTGTCCCTCTATATTACTGTTGTTGTTATTCATCCCATCTCAGGTAATTTGGCCTCGTCTTATGTACTCACCTCCTGGATGCTCTTGCCCTCTTAGAAATGTGTTTACCCATCTCACCCGCCTCCCACTCAGTCCTATTCATAGTCAATAAGCTCATGGGCAATATGATACATTTTTTCTTTTACTTTATAAAAAAATAAGTTTTGAAGTGAAATTAGACACAATTAAAAAAATCCCATCAACTCCTGAAACCACTTAAAGTGGCTCTTATAAGCACCACAAAGCCTCTTTCACTTTTCTTTTTGTCCTCTCATTAATTTTGTACTACCTTGGGGATATCAAGGTAATAAAAATGAGTAAGAAATTACTTTCTTTGTTCTGTTAATTTGATGACCTCTTAAAGTGCTTTTTCTTACAAAGGAAGAATGGATAATGGATAGGGCAGACTTAACATGAGGGCAGAGGATGTGCATCTGAAAGCCAGGTAAGCAGGCCTGGCCAGTTGTCTGGGTGTGATTCCAGGGGAAGGGCTCCCAGCTCACAGTCTGCTCAGTCTCTGACCCTGCCCAGGGCTAAAATGACTACCATTGGCCTCAGGACTTGGGCATTTAAGAAGTGAGTGTGTGCAGAGCACTCTACAGTGTTGAGTGACGAGGCCTAGTGAGCAGGGAGCTTAACTAGGGTTTTGCGGATGAAGGGACCAGTGAGTGGGACCTTGAGCACCCATTGGGCTGGACAGAGGACTGTGAGCAAAGGTGTATCAGAAAGAGGTGCTTTTCCTTGAGCACAGAGACGAGATTTTGGAGGGCCTTACAGAACTATATGAGGAAGTTTAGGTTTCATTTGGAAAGCGGTGAGGAGCCACTAAAAATATTGGAGACCGTTTGAGCTATTATTCCTTTTTAGGAGGAAATTTTTATCTAAGATATTGCAGGACACTAGTATCCTAGACACTGACCTGGGCTGGTTTGGTAGACTTCCAAGTAAATAAGTTACATTTTCCTGTAAACTGTTGAGTGTGGTAACTAGGGCAAGAACTTGTGGATAAAGACTACTTTTTAAAAAAAAAAATTACTTTATTTATTGAATCAAAGTTGATTATACATATTTTGGGGGTTGAACATTGAAATATGTTGATCAAATCAATATTACTAGCATATATATTGTTACAAATCATAATTATTCTTTATGCCCCTTGTCTAATCTCTCCCCCCCCCGCCAATTACCCTAGATTTCTTCTCTCCTTCTGAAAGGATAATGGTTACTCTGTTAATTTGTTGCCTAGATGATCTGTCCAATGCTGAGAGGTGTGATCAGGTCCCCCAATATATATTATAGAGCAGATGCTTCTCCTGTCACTCTGAAGTGGGCTTTGTGGAGAGAGACATCCTCTTCTTTTCTTTATCTCTGCTGGTGACTCTCCTTGTGTGAATGCACTCCAGTGGTTAGAGGACCATCTGCATCATGGTTGTGGCATCTAGCCGCTTTCATGGCAGCCATGGTTATTATGGTGGCAGTGGTGGGCCACCCACATGGAGGTGATGTTTTTGGTATGCTCTTTGGCGCTGGCATTGTGCCAGGTTCTGGGGTGTGTCTGGTCCCCTTCTCCATGCCTCTGGTCCCTAGGCAGGCCCCAAGGCACTGGCACCATGTGCCTGGTTGTGGGAGGAGGATCCAGTCTCCTTCTCCATGCCTCAGGTCACCGGGTGGGCCCCAAGGTGCTGGCGCGGTGTGCCTGGTTGTGGGAGGGTGGTCCGGTCCCCTTCTCCATGCCTCGGGTCCCTGGGCAGGCCCTGAGGTGCTAGCTTGGTGTGCCTGGTTGTGGGAGAGAGGTCCAGTCCCCTTCTCCATGCCTCAGGTCATTGGGCAAGCCCCGAGGTGCTGGCGCAGTTTGCCTGGAAGTGGGAGTGGGGTCCGGTCCCGGGATCCAAGCCTCCAGTTCCCAGGCAGGCCCCAAGGTGCTGGTGGTGTTCCTGGGCCAGAACTAATTTTTTGTCCTTTGCTTCTAACATGGGGGAACTTCCTGTGGGAACCAGTACTTGAGCTGTGTGGTTGAGTTAAATTTCTGCTTTGCTGCTGTTTCCCAAGGGAAGGCTTTTTGTGCAGCTCAGGGTTTAATGGTTGACCTTATACGTACTTTTGACTCTCCAGAGACCCAGTGGATCTGTGTTCTGTAGAATCTCTGATCTGGGCCTGAGTTTTTTCATCAGTCTGCCCCCCATGCAATTCTGCATTCCCGGCCATTCTCCTCTGAGTGGTCCTGTGCTGATTGGGGGGCGGATCGGCTGTCCTTGCTGTGTCCCAGTGTTCTCCTTGTAGGCCCATCTCCCCCACTGCCCATGCTCCAAACACTTCCCATGGGATAGGCCCTGTGCTGGTCCCTTGTGATGACTCACCAGCCTCTGAACGGCTCCCTTTTTTCATTTGTTCTGGCTCCTTGCTCCTTCGTGGGTACATGTGAACCCTATTAGTGGTCTTGCTGTCCTGCGGGCTGCCAAGGCCCTCTTCTCTCCTGCCACCTCCAAGTAACTCCATCTGAAGGGTGCAGCTGCGGCTTCTTCCGGCTCCTGCTCCATGCACTCAGCAGCTCCAGCCTTAAAGCAGCCACGACCCAAAATGCTCAGAGCAGCTTTTTCTTTCTCTTGTCATGGTTTCTCCTGCCTTCATGAACTCCATACATCTCTCCTCCTCTTCCTCTAAGCTCCAGTGACCTCAGCTTGGATGATGTTATATTTTTGTAGTTGTAAATTGGTTGATTTGTGGGAGACAGTGACACTGGGAACCATTTATTCCGCCATCTTGACTGGAACCTCACCTAAAGACTACTTTTAACCACTCTTTTATGGCAAAATTCAAAACACTTTTGATGACATGCGTGCATATTTGGATTCTGATTTTCTTAAAGAGAATCATAAACATGCCTAAAGTACTTGGGCTTTTTTTGTTTATTTTTTCTACTATGAAAGGAAAATATAATTTTATTATAAGTTATTTGCTTTGATTGGTGAGTTTAATCAGAGAAGAAAATAATTTTAAAGACTAGTTAAAGTAGATTTGAACTGTTATTGCTTACTTAAGTTTATTGTCTGTACGTGGACACATACATATGTTATATTTACATATTTATGTACATATGTTATATATTTATGTTAAGGGAATATGGATGATGTATACATATACACACATGCACATAGAGTTGGTACTCAATTGATATTACTGTTATGTGTTTCAAAGTCTTATTTAATGTCATAACACCAACATCAAGCATTCAGATTTCTGTACCAGTCATCCACCGAAAAAATAGAAAATAAAAAAATATAGTCTTATTTATATTCATATTCCTAACTAGATAATTTGTATTTTGAGTAGTATACATTATGCCTAACTTGCATTTGCCTTATAATGTCAGCACTCAAAAATGACTAATTCAAGATAGTTTTGTTAAAAACTTACTTCTAGGAAATGGTAGCTACTATTTTAAGATGGAACTCATACTCATGTTCCTCAAAATAAAAGGAGCTTTTTTCCTTCATCCTTCTATTTATAGTTAATTGTTGTATTCACAACCTGAATCATGCTTTCTAAGCGATGCAATTACCAAAGCATATTTTGATTTAAAGGCAGATGTTAGCATATAGAAATTACTGTAAGAGGTTTTTCCCCCTAATCTTCTTGGAAATTGCTATACTAATTAAGTTTTAATTCACAGTATACTTGTATAATTTACTTTTAAATAGTGTGTTCAATTTTTTTCCCATTGTGAGAGTTGTAAAAGTGTATTAATGTTACTTTGGAATATAGATAATTTTAAAAAATCATTCCCAACCTCATCATCAACAATCAAAAACCGATTAATACGCCATTTGATGTATTTCCTTTTGTCCTTTTTCTCTTTAAATTTATGTATTAAAAACCATGGTTGTAGTGATAATGTGACTAAAGTTTTGTATCCAGCTTTTGAAACTAAATATAATATCATATTTTTGTGTTGCTCCACAGTCTGTATAACCATCACCTTTGTTAGATTCATCTACTCAATGAAACCTATGTGCATCATAAGTTGTCTAAACCATTGTGATATTTTTAGACTTTCAGGTTATGTTCTTTTTTTTTTAATTGTAAATAACACTATCCTATTCAGGATTATTTTTTAGAATAGATTCCCAAAATAAAAATAACCACTTTTATTTGGATAACCCACAGGTACCATAGTTCGTACTCACCAAGTCCAAATATGAACTTCTGTTCCATCCCCTAGCCATGCTGCACCAATCTGTCTACTTTGCCAAGCCTACTTTGGTATTGTTCTGTGTTCCTTTGTCTCCCTTAGTCCCCCAGTTTCCTCAGTCTCCAAATCCAGTTAGTTCTATCTCCTCAGTATCTCTCATACCTTGTCCTCCACCCCATTGAAGGATTGCTAAGTAGAACATCAAGAAGGGATTCATATTATAAACCCATTTACTAAGCAAGTATTTAGGACACTGTGGAAAGAGAACTATATAAATTCAGTTGACTGGCCAAAGTGCCTGCAAATGTAGAAAGTTGCTTATAACTTGCCAGGTTAGCACAGCTTCGATTGACCAGAGATGTAGCTGGCTTGGGAGAACTGGCACAGCCAGAAGAATGAAAGACCATGGCCAGTTCCTGGGTGACTGGGTAGAAGATGTTTTAACTATTTGTCCTGACAGTATCTTTATCCTTTGCAAGAATAACACAATGTACAGTTAACAATAAATGTATGCAAGCAAACTATGTATGTGATTGCTTCTTAGGGTAACTTGAGACAAAATGGACAAATTGGACAAAAAGATTGTCTGTCTCGAGAAGGACAGTCCCAGGAAATGAAGTGTAATGAGGGATAAAGCCTAGTCAACGTGACCAACCGGACGATATCCCTCAAACTTTAAACTCTGATGCCATCCCCTACCCTGGGGATTTATTTTTGAATAAAATATGATCTTGCTCACCTCTTCGGCCATCACTTGATTTTAGGGACATTGAATATTGTATTTTTCCACTGACATTTAGAATATTAATGAATATATATGACAAGAAGCTGCTTTATTAAATGATTGATCACAGATGTAAACATTGAGAAATGTGTGTCAGTGTTTTCTCTTGGTTTCAGGTTCTGGGCATTCAAGTGAAATGCTTCCACGAAATTATCACCATAGGTTATAGAGTCTATCATTCTTATGATCTACCCTGGTTTAGAACACTAAGTTGGTAAGTAAACTTGAAACTGTTTTAGATATGAGAATCTGATTCCTTTCTAAAGTTTGTAAAGGAAGCATCCTGATCAGTCAGTATCCAGGCAGTTTACCTTATAGATTGATTTTGGAGAAGGATAAATAAAAATAATATAATTGAATTTTAGAAAGAAGAAAATCACCTTTGACTCCCTCACTCGAACACAACTTTTTTCATATCTCACATTGCAGTCTTTGTAGAGATATCTAATTTATATTGAATATATACACCATTCTTGTCCTTTAAAAAAACCAAAACATTCTATTGGATATATTTTACATCCTTTATAATCATAATTTTAGCAAAAAGCTTACTAATAATCTTTTGCTTTATTTCCCCTTAGTTGGCATGAGAACACACAAAATATTGTCTATATACAAATGCATATAAAGTTAGTAAAAAAAAAAAAAAAAATCACCAAATGATTTTAACAGTTAAAGTTTATATCTTTTAAAAACTTTTCAGGTATAATTTGTAGCTATCTAGCCTAGGAAACATGATAACATAATAGTCCATATTTAACCTAAGTGGCCATGCCTTTTAATACAACTGTTTGATTTGTATCAGCCAAGGAGCCAGTGTCTTACTGAAACAGATATATCACATTTGGGGTTTAGAATAGTCAAAAGTACTTTCTTGATTTTGGTGATAGCTGATTTTCCCTCCTAACAGGTTTTCTCATGAGTGGCAAAGTGTATGGAAAATGTTAGATGGATAAAGTAATAGGAGAACGATTCCATGCTAAACCGTGCAGGATGGATTCTAAGGGCAGAAAAAGAAAAGATAAACCGGGTGGGCTTCAGTGATTGTAGAAGCCTTCATAGAAGAGAGGTGATAGATGAACTGGCACTTGAAATAAAGACAAGATCTGGATAGTGAAGAGTATTCTGTTGGGAAAGCAGCATCTATCAGGTACTAGATAGAGCAGAACAGATGTGGCATGTGCTACAGATGTGAAATATTCCTGGCCCTCCTGAGCAGAAGGTGCATATTAGGGAATAGTGGGCAAAAAAGTTGGATTGGTGGGCTAGGCCTTGATCTCCTTACAAAAGAGTCAAACACAGTTTCTGTTGTAGGAAAATAGAAAAATGGTAATGCATTTGATGGGAATGAGAATACTTGCCCTTTACTTTGGGAGCAGTGGGGCTTAATTCCATCCTTGGGAACCAGAGGGAAAGCACCCCTTCTGTCTTCCATGGTTCTCTTAGCTAGCTAGGAGTCTGCCCTTCAGAGGATGAGGCCCGGAGGAACTCTAAGGCAGTGTTTCTCAGCCCTTTTCCTGGCTCACACAAGCTCCCATCAGCAAAATCTCAGTGGGTTCAATCTCTCCCTGGGGGAGGGAACATGCTAGAACTGAGGGATAGGACAGATAATTTATGTAGTTTTTAAAAGATTTTTCTAGAGATTTTTACCTGCTACTAGCTCCCATCCCCCATTGCTGCCCCTTAAGAATCACTGCTCAACTGGAGTCCACCTGGAGCATTAGAAGAGGGGAGAAAAACGCCATGCAGGGCACCAGGGAAAGCGCTGGATTACTTCTTCCTTCTCTCTTCATCTTGCATAGGGGAGGTGGGGATCTGTCTTAGGACCTCTACTATTAAAAAGCATTAGATCTGTGAGAAGTTGGGAGTTCATTTTCATTGTGATCTTAATACTGTATATATGTGTATGTGTTTGTGTGTAGTATTTTCTGCATTGTTTCCTAATTATCTCAGGCATTAGGTTTTGAGCTAATTAAAGGCATGAACTATATTAAGTAGATTTTCATTGATCAATAAGCTGGACATTTAGTTTAAATAGGAAAATAGCATTTTGGTAGAATGTATCTTGAATTGGTCTTTTGATCTAGGTTTGATCCTTGTGTCATCATCAAAATGTAGAGAATAATTCTGTTGAGTTTGAGGGGGAAAAGGGCTTCAGATATAAGAAAGCTAATTGTTTTTAAATTATAGGTACTTTCTGCTATGTGTGAACTACTTTTTCTATGGAGAAACTGTAGCTGATTATTTTGCTACGTTTGTTCAAAGAGAAGAACAACTTCAGTTCCTTATTCGCTACCACAGATTTATATCATTTGCCCTTTATCTGGCAGGTAAGTTAAGGAAAATATTATGTATCGATATGTAGCCAACATATTTTCCCTGTTTATTTTTGTTATTTAAATTCATAACATCCTTTGTTACATTTTATTCTAGTCTCTCTAATTGTTTCCCATGTATAAAGCAATTGTTTTCTTCATGGTATTAAATGGCAATTATTTCCTAATGGTGCTTTAAAAAAGTACTTGATTAATAGTCACTTCATAACTTTGAAAATTTTCTTTGCAAATTGTAGTGAAGAAACTCTTAAATATGTAGTGATTCCTAACCAGATATAATTTCAAAGAAACTTAAACTTGTATATATTCCTTTATTTGTTCCAGGGAAAAAGAGCTTTCATATAGAATTAATCAGGATAATTAGGTTTTTTGACATGGCTTATTATATATGCAACTTTGTTTATAGTATGCTATGCCACATGTTTTTTATGATTTTAGATTAAAAATTAGATGTTTAGGGTAAAGTTAGAATTAACAGATTGCTTTTCCATAAAATTTTACTGGTTGTAAAAAATAAAAAAGGCAAAAAACAAAAAATCTAAGAAATTGCTTTTAAAATGTAATTTTTATAATTTGTTTTAAAAAATTTTTTTATTGAAACATAAGTGATGATACTTATTTGTGGGATATAGAGTTGACTATCAGTATTTGCATACAGTATGTGATGATCAAATCAGGATAGCTGGCATATCATCATTACAAAATGTAAAATGTACTTTTTAAAAGCCAGATTGCTGATGTGAATCCTGGCTCCATCACTTACTAGCTAAGTAAACACTGTGAAATTTAATTAATTTTTTTGTGCCTCAGTTTATTCATAAAACACTTAGGACAGTGTCTGGCACTATTTAAATATTTGTTGTTATTATTTTCACTTTTAAAGAAGGAAATAAAATTTGTGAGTTTTCATTTTAGCTGTTGATAGTTATCATTTTAGCTCCCAGGAGTTAGAGTATATGGGGAAGCATGTTCAGTCCTTTAAAAGTATATCATTTTATTTAGTAATTATGATGGTGTTTATGGTGCTCCTACTTTAATAAAACTCCTTCTGTTCCTGACCTTTAAGCCTTTAATTCCTAGGCCTTCGGATTCTAGAAAGTCAGAAAGTGAAACAATTTGAAATTATAATGATAAATTTTCAGAGAATTTTGTTTGTTTTGGGTTTTGGTTTTTTCTTTCTTTTTTTTTTTTTTTTGGTGATGAGGGACTACATTTTCTAAAGGGTTTTCTTCCTTTTACATTCAGTTTTTTTGTTCAGTCCAATTTCTGAAAATATTCCATCATTTAAAAAAATTATTACTGATATATCTACAAAGTACATTCTTAGAAATAAGTATTTTTAAATATTTCTATTTTTTCAAGGGCAAACAAAATAAGATATTTATTTGAAGATAGTTGGTCCATTTTCAATTCTGATCAGTTTGAAGGATTAGAGAGATTATGATGATTGATATCAGTTAAGGAGAACATACTAAAGTTTTGAAGGTAAACACTTGACTCTGATTCTGTGTTTATCGAAGCATAGTTCTGACATTTTTTTCTTGGAAGGAACTGAGTAGTTCTTCTCAATATCAAACCTATAAGCCTTGATTTATTTTGTTAAATGTAAGGTAGATTCTGGGATAGATTCTTTCCTGTCACAGGAGAGAATACGAGGAATCTTCAAAAAGTTCATGGAAGGATTCATATTATTTTTTAATTCTGCTTTTGCATGAACTTTTTGAAATATCCTTGTGTAGTATCTTCTCGGTTTATATTTACAGGGGTAAGACTTCTTTTCTGGCATTGTAACCAGCATGGTGCTGATAACACCAAGGTCCAGGGTTTGATCCCTGTAGTGGCAAGCTGCCAAAAAAAAATAACAAAAAAACAAAGTTTACTGGTATATTGGGCAAGAAGTGCTTCATATTGCCACCCGTTATTTTAGTTTATGATTATTAGATTTCACAATAATTGGGTAAGAATTTCAATTTAGTAAGTTTCCATTGTAATAAATTTGTAAAATGTAAACATAAACACAAATACTGTTTATAAGTCTTGGAATTATTAAGAGCATTATATTTACTAAAGTTATTATAATACGGTTTTGAGAAATTTTAAATTACTCTTGAATCTTGCTGATATGAATTTATGGAACCACACATCTGATATGAATTTATGGAACCGTACATCATGACTCTGGAGAATCAATAGAATCTGAGCATTCAATTTCTAGCCTTGTAATTCTCAGTAAGTTAATAAAGCTCTTTGTTTATGTTTCTTCATCTGCAAAGTGGAGATAATAATAGGTATTTATATCTTAGGGATGTTGGAAGGATTAAATGAATTAATACACGTAAAATGCTTAGGCAAGAGCCTAGAACATAATAAGTGTTCAATAAATGTTAGCTGCCATAATAGTTATTATTGATTTTTGTATTATTAAGAGACTGAAAACATTCTGTACATATACTTGATGAGTTAACATAGCAAATAAATTCTATTCAATTGGAATTCAAGATTTGTTTCCACGTCCACATAATAGCAAGGGACTAACTCATTTAATTAATACAGGGGATGATTATTGAATTCGTACCATGGAATATATTAGGCATTTTGGAGATTACAAGGTTGTTTCCCTCAAGAAACTTACTTAAAATTCTTAGTATAAGAAGGTAGGAGAGATGGCATGAGTAGCTAAAATATGCCTAGACGTGATATAGAATATTGGCTTATTTGGGCTTCAAAGAATCTTATCCTTCGTACCAAATTACACAACAAGCACATGTTTTCTTGTTCTTGAACAGGTTTCTGCATGTTTGTACTGAGCTTGGTGAAGAAACATTATCGTCTGCAGTTTTATATGGTGTGTATTAACCATTACTCTGTAGTCACTATATGTAATAAAAACTCTTACCTTTATTTTTTTTTCCTGCTAGTTCATGTCTTGCCTGAATGTGAGGGGTATTTCAATTTTGGATGGCCATTAAATATAAAACATTGAAGTTGAAAAGTTTTTTAGGATTTTAAGATTTTACCTGTTGTCAAAGTTTCCTAAAAACGTTTTTTCTGGCCATTTTCAAAGACTGTAAAATTAAAGTATTTGAATTCCTTAAATTTGTAGAAATTTAAAGAGTTTTCATAGTTTCCTGGACAATTACTAAGCCTGGGAAAAAATCTACTGTATTGTTCTGTGGCATGTAACTATGTTTACCTGATCTTATCGTGAGCAGAGCATGTATTTTCTTGGTAGTTATAGTTAGTCATAGAATTGCATAATTCTTCTTGGCATAAGGTATTTTATTCGGTGTATCAAAGTCTATGTTTTGTGAAATTTATCACTGCATATGATGAACTTTTCTTATTTTCTTAAATTGTAACTAATAAGACTGTATAATGCAATGTAGTTTTTAGATCTGTGAATTCATGTATTTGTAAAGCTTGTTTTAGATTTGGAATATATTTCCTATTCTTTATTATTTGCTGTTCTCTGTTACAATGTTCTGCTAAACATTATTGCTTGGAAATTGTAGTGTTTCTTACATTTCTAATTTCAGGGGGTCGGAGAGTGAAGAGGAAAATTGTCAGTGAAAATTTAGAAATGAGACAAATTAGAAATAGTAAAATCATCTATGAAAATATAAATTATGCCTATTGGACAAAAATCATTTATGCATTTTGAAACCACTAGGATAAATTGTATCTTTTAAGCAGATAAAATAGAAGAAAACAAAACAACAAATATAAAATATTGTTTAATGAAATGGAAAATAGGTTTATTAAAAATAAATCAAAATCCTAAGAATTTGGAATGTCATTTTATAAATTCTAATCAAAATTGTAACACTAGTGTATAGAAGCATTAGCTTCTTTTTGTTCACATTCTACTCATACTGATTATGCTAAGAGTCATTAAAGTGGCATCTCTCAGGTTAGATGGAATTTATGAAACACAAAGGTCTTGGAAAATTTGAAATTGAATACTGTCATTGAATAGACCTGTGACTATTTCAAGTATGAGAGTATGGAGTTTAAGGGCAGTTGAACCCTGCTGGTTTGAATCATTTGAGGTTAGAAATAACTCTTCATGGGGAAAAATTACTGTAATAAACTCTAAAAGAAAAATAGTTTTTAGCATTTTTCATAACTGCAGAGTGCAGCCAGAGTAAAATGTTCTTCTCTAAATGCCATAATAACACTATAAATTTTTCATTATCATTTAAATCTGATTCAGGATTATGGTTTATTTTTTATACATGTTTTTAAATTTATTTGTGTATCTCAGTATTATTAACATTTCACTTGTGTATAAATTAAGATTACTTCGTTAAATGTTTTTATTTTTCTAAGTAGGTGACAAAATGAATATAATTTACTAACAGCATTTATTTTGTATGACCTTATCTTACAAGTTTTGACCAAAAGTCATGGCTGAAATTTGTGTTTCAAAATTACTGTTGCTTCTTGGCTGCACTGATCAGTTGTGTTCACTAATTTTTATGTTGTTGGGCTATTAACAGTTCGCATGGACTCATGTAACTTTACTGATAACAGTTACTCAGTCACATCTTGTCATCCAAAATCTGTTTGAAGGCATGATATGGTAAGGGAACAGAATTATGCTGCTTTATATTTAAGTTGTAGCACTTTTAAAGCTCTTGAACATTGGACAGTGTCTTACAGATTTCTACTAAAATGTACTATTTGTTGTTTTCTATTCCATTAAAATATATTACTGAGTTTTCCTTAGTATTTAACAACCTGAGACAAAAATGCTACATTAACAACCAGAAACCTTTCTTATTCAGGTTCTAAATAAAGTCCAGAGTCCCCAGAAAAGCCCCAACAATTAATTACAGTTCAGGTGTAAGCCTTAATGTGACTTTTTTACAAAGGATAGACTTAAAAAAAGAATATATTTACGTGGAATGCAAAAAGAATAGGGAAGTTTTCTTATCAGTAAACAGTGTGCCAGAAATGCATTTTTCTCTAGGTGAAAGTTGGGTAGGTTCTGCTTTGCTGTTATGTAGGAGTAGGTTTCCAAATTTCAGATGTATGGAGTTATTTGCTCTATGGCAGTGGCTTGCATTTTCAGAATGCATTTTTATTAGTTAAAAATTAGTTCATTTTTTAAAAACTTTTTCTTAGGTAAAAATTACTTGGAGTAAAGAAAAAGGTTAAGACTTTTTAAAAATATGACTATATTTCCCCCACATTCATTTTAAAGCTATTAATTAAAATCATTTATAGTTGATGGGTTTTATCAAGATAAATTTTATTCCCTTGACTGCTTCATGTTTTTTACTGTGTGTGTGTATAAATAATTGGAATAATTTTAAGATTGTCTTCCATATACAAACTTTAAATTCATGGTGGGACACTTACTGAAGCAAGTAGGTTCTGTACAACTAGTAGAGTTTAATGCAGTCATAAGCTATACTCATAGAAAGAATTAAAATTGATAATTTTTTTCCTGAAAGAGAATTTATATTAAGAGCTTAGTATAAATTTATCAGATTATATTGTCTAAATAACTGACTCATTTTCATTTTAAAAGGCTGCTTTTTTAAAGATAAACTTTCAATCTGACTTTCTTTTATTTTTTTAATTATAACTTGTTCTGCATAAAATTAAAATTTAAATGTCCATAACTATAGTAATTGATAATTTAATAATTTCCTTAGGAGTATTCACTTAGTATGTTAGTTTATTTATAGATTTTGCTCTGCATAAATTGCTAAATAGGCAAACTTGGTTGTTGTTTATTTCCGATGTTTTGGCAAGTGTTATGTTCTGGACTAGACTGCAGTGTAATCCAAAGTGTTGTTACATTGGTTCATTATGAGTCATAACCTGTATAAATATTTGCCACTTAATCATGTGGGCTTTTTCCTGCTGCCTTTTTTTTTTTTTTTAAAGGTTCCTTGTTCCAATATCAAGTGTTATCTGCAATGACATAACTGCTTACCTTTTTGGATTTTTTTTTGGAAGAACTCCATTAATTAAGGTAATGGAAAAATATTACAACCAAGCCACCACCATAACCTTTAAAAAATAGCCACTGGAGAATATTTCCAACAGCTTGGTGCTGTTGGGCATTTTTGATTTCTGATGTACCTTGATTTTACTGAACTGCATTTAGCCACAGCGCAGGAGCAGTGAGCCATATTTCCCAATAATTCCATCTGGATTCTTCATCAGATATTCTATTGGTTCTTTGATAAGGGCTTGACTCCCTCGGTTATCCTGTCTCTTGGGAAGGTCCGTTTCATCTTTCTGCTGGTTTCTGCATGTTAGCTGGTTCTTTTTTATCCCCTTTCCCGGCAGCCCTATAAACAAGCCTTTCCTTGACCCTCAAATGTCTCTTCCTCTGTCCCCTCCTTTACCAACCTCTCTTAGAGAGTAAATTATACCATTTTCACATACTCGTGTCCATTTGTAAGGCTTTTCCATCCAAACTCATTTCAAAGAAAGATTTTAGGGCCCTACAATAAAATACTGATAAAATGCAAGTAGTAATAAAAGGTTAAGACAAGGGAAAGGAAAAATACACATCAGCAGACTATATTGTTTTGCCTTAGTTTTGGATCTGCTTAAGGGCAAGGGAGAAAAGAAACAAACCAATTCTTTGTGGAAATTAAGCTTTTTTCTAAAACGGATTTCTGAAAAAGAGCTTTCAGGTTGTGGCTTTAGATAGGATTCACTCAGTTCACGTATTAGGCAAAGACTTTTATAATGTTCCCATAAATACAAAGGTACTTCAAAAAGTTTGAGGAAGATAGAACTGAAAGGTAGTATGATTCTTTCCATGAGCTTTTTGAAGTACCCTTGTATATTATTTGGCTATGAAGGCAGTTTTGAAGGGATTGTGACAATTGTTCAGATTTTAAAAAGAAGTTGATTTAGAGTAGTATGCAGGTAGCTTAGCGTCCCAGAGAAATGGATGGACTGACTGTCCTTTAAAAAACCCTCCATAAACTCTCTTCCCCATGGGATTCCAGCACACAAAAGTTCTGGGCTTAGGAAGCCTTCAGAAAGGCTGTTAGAGCTGTAGAAGAATCTCATCGACTGATTTTGAACATAGCTTTCTAGGGAATTTACCAGGCTGGGTAAGTTGTGTAATATACCTGGATAACTGAGCAGTTAACCCCTAAATCAATATGATATGAATCAGTTCAGTTTGATAAAGCTATCTTTAAAATAATCAGTGGGCACTTTTGAGTTTGAGTCCACTCCTACTTCATGGCAATAATACCAAACTATCCTAGGAGAAGGTATATTCATCCCTTCTCTAAGGCAGAATTGTTATTAGATTTATTCAGAAACCACTTTGGGCTAAATATTTGGGTTTTGGTCTTTATGAATATCAGGACAAAAGGTGTATAAAGAGCTCATGTAGCTTAGCCTATAGCCCATTTCTATCTTCAGAAACTCCCCTCTGATATTTGGCTTCTGTCCCTGTTGCACTGAAATGATCATCACAAAGGCCGTTAAACATCTGATGACCAAATCCCTACACACATCTCACTCCTTATCTTATATGGCACCTCTGGATAATTATCACCGTCTACTCCTGAGTCTTTTCCTCCTGCCTCTGCATTACCAAGTTCCAGATTTTCCAGATTTTCCTTCAGCTTTCTCTCCCTGAATGCCTCATTGACTGGGATCAATAGCCTGAATCTGAAACAAATGGTATCTATTCTTAGAAGCACAGCGTGTTCCTTTCTTCCTGGAGACAGATGTAGATTGTGAAAAAAGGGAGGACAGTATATGAATACTTGAGGAGCAAATACAATATTTGGGGCTGTGGAGTATTTTGTCATTTCAGAAAGAGGTCTGTTGTGAGTATAGCATATTAGGAATATATGAAAATCTGGCTTGTTGCCATCTCCACGTTTTGTTGTGCTCATTTTATTTTTGGTTAGTAGCAGGTCTATACTGACCATGTGTACTTGGAATGAATATTTCTCTTCCTTACTCCAACAACTCATTATTATTATTATTATCATCATCATCATCATCATCATCATCATCACTACTACCACTGTTATTGGGGTTTATATATATAAACACAAAAGTCATGGGATGATTATTTTAGTTTACAGTTTATATAGTCCTTGAGAGAAAAACAAATAAATTGAGGCTATTTAAAAGGAAAAAACAGATATTCACAGCATGCCAAATGTTTGAGGGCCTACTACATGTTAAATGCTACTGGAGAGATTTGCACACATAAATCAGGAATATAGAGAGAAAAGGGTTTTAAACCATTCCAATAAGAAAAAAGTAAAGAGACATGTTCAAGGTATTGAGGGAACTCCTTGAACAGAGTTTGCAAATGTATTATGTTTTGTGAGTGCAGTAACTCTTTTAAATTTTATTCGGCCTTTTTTAGTTGTCTCCTAAAAAGACATGGGAAGGATTCATTGGCGGTTTCTTTTCCACAGTCGTGTTTGGATTCATTGTGAGTTTTTCTAGGATTTTTATCTTATATATATTTTGAAAAACTGTACCAAGTTTATTAGTCTATTATAAGCCAAAAAATTATTAAAGTACAAGATGCTAGCAATATATTTATTGAGATCTACTTAAGCGGAACTGATTTTGTACCCCCAGTAGCTCTCATCCTGTCTGCATATCAAAATTACTTGGGGAGCTTAAAGTCTATGCCTCATTCTTATCCCAGGCCAATTAACTCCTCCAGGTGATTCTAATGTGCAGTCAGGCTTGAGATCCACTGTTGTGTTTTGGCAGTTTCTAACAGCTGTTCTGCCTTTTGGAGGACACAGGTGCTGGGACAGGTGGTGGCTTTGAGTAGTAGCAGATAATCCAAATAATGTGGGAAGAGTTCTGCTTTCTTAACACATGGTTGCCACTTGGCTCAGTGGGTGGTCACTGCTGTGAGCCCAGCTTGCAGGATGAGTCTGTTAATTATAAGTAATTAATGTTCACTTTTAGCCAGAATTAGTGGATATTGTTTATGTTTTAAAAAATTAATGTACAGTTAGGGAATTTAGTTTTTTATTAAAAGTTGTCTAGTGAGAATCAATAAGGGTACAGTGAGATGGCTGGATATAAGATAAATATACCAAAAAAAAAAAAAAGCTGTTAATTTAATTACTGTTAATTTTTTAAGAGTTTAGTGCAAGAATATTGTAGTTATATTCTATATCCAAATATAGAGAAACCAGTAACAACAGAAGCTTTGAAAGAGAGCAGGTATACAAATAAATGGAAATGTAACATGATTCTGGATGGGAAAACCACCACAATTCTAACATTTAATTATAAATTTAGTTTATTCTCAATGAAAATTTCAATAGAATTTGGTAAAATTATTCCAAAAGTTTTGTGATGGAATATTGATGTTAGTAATTGATAAATAGAATAATGAAAAAGGATCCAATCCCATTTAATGTTTATACATTACAAATCAAGAATAATTAAAATATTATTAAGTAATACTATAAGAATTTGATATTATTAAAGACTAATTTGAAATACTACAGGAATAGTCATATCATTGGAAGAAAATAAAGAGCCACCCCATAGAATGTAATGTATGACAGAATAATGAGAGAAATTATATATTTTTTTAAATAAATGGTTTTGAGGAAACTGGTTGGAAGTAAAATCAGTTTATATCCATAGTGTTGTTTGAATTTCTGCCACCCATTCTTGAGCAAAATAATGGGGCAAATGTCTGCAAGAGAAAAGAAAAAGAGAACAAAGTGTTGTCTAGCAATTTAAATTTATAATAGGGTATTTTATTTTATATATCTTCTATATACCTTCTACTTCTGTGGCTGAAGACAGCTAGTTTTAAAACTTGCAGTGATGTGGCCAGGGAAAGAATAATTTAGTCAAAGTTTTCTGGGTTGGCTAAGAACAATGGTGTTTTTCACCTGTACTGTTTTGCACTATTTTATTAGTAATTCTGAATTACTGGTTGATTATTCATTGATGAAATTAATCTAAGCTTGTAGGCAATAAACTTCAGTCCTTTGTTCTTCTGTACCTTTACATTTGTGGTCCCACAGACATTACAGTCTCACTGATTTCAGAAACTTTTTTTTCTAAATGTCTTCTATGTCTTTTTGGGGGGACGATTATGACCATCTAACTTTTAAAATACGTAACAGTATCTGGCATTCTATCTCTAGCCTTTCTGACACAGTACTTAAAATACATATATTTAGCCAGTGTTTCATGAACTCTTGCTTTGTTATTCAGGTTGCGTATCTGTTATCCAAATACCAGTACTTTGTCTGCCCGGTGGAATACCGAAGTGATGTAAACTCCTTTGTTACAGAGTGTGAGCCCTCAGAACTTTTCCAGCTTCAGAGTTATTCACTTCCTCCCTTTCTAAAGACGGTGTTGAGACGGGTAAGAGTAGAAGTTCAAGAGAAATATGGTTAGGGATCCGCCAGTCTAAAGATTAAGCTTCCTTTAAAAGTGGGATTCAGATTTTTTACAAGAAACCAATTTTTGTAGAATTTTTAATTCTGTGATATAGAATTGGTTTTAGTGTCTGCTTATCGACAATATGTTCTATCCTCTTGTGATTTCTCTTTCTTGAACATAGAATGAGTATTACTATTGCAAATCAGTTGTGTACTAGAGGTTTACTTGCCTAACGGCTTAAATACTGATGGTAATTTATCTTGTATTTGTTTTTTTTGTTTTTTTTTTTTTTGTCTTTTTTCCGTGTCCGGCAATGGATTGCAACCCTCAGTGTTGCCCCCGCACCGGACCGGGACCGGCAACGGGATCGCAACCCTCGGTGTTGCCCCCGCGCCTCGCTCAGCCAGTGAGCGGGAACCGGTCTGTATGTGGGATCCGAACCCTCGGCGGGAGCGCCTCCGCGCTTCCCAAGCGGCGCACTAGCGCAGTGCGCCACCGGGACGGCCCCTTGTATTTGTTTTGAAAACATTTTTCAATATTCCTTAGATTTTTACAAATCAAATGGATTAGAATGGGTTTCACATGTTACTGGTATGAACTGACTCAATACTTAATTAAAATTCAATTCAAAGAGCCTTTGATTTTTAGAGGACATTCATTAGTACAGAAAACTGCTACTTCTAAAAATCAGTTTTTGGGGGCTGCTGGATAACTCAGTTGGTTAGAATTCAGCCTTTTAACACCAAGGTCATGGATTCAGATCCCTGTACTGGCCAGCTGCCAAAAATAAATAAATAAATAAAAACCAGTTTTTCTTCCAAAAGCACATTGCTACCATTGAAAGGCGTTTTTGAGGTCTAGCACTCAAGCATGTAGAATACTCTGGATCTGTGTCATCAGGACTGGTGGACAGTTGGTTAAAGTGGTGAATCAAATAGTCTTGTGTGTGTGTTCTTGTGTATGCATGCACATGTGTGTATCTGAAACATTTTATTTTTAACCAAAATTTATAATTTTTGAGAAGCAGGTTGACCAACAAATTATTTCTCTCCTTGAGTATTTAGTTCATGAACTACAATAATTTTTTCAATGTCCAAGCCATCTGTTACCTTCTATAAAACTTTTGATGCTGCCAACCTCTAATTAGGAGCAAGGACTTGTTGCTTTGAGAACAAGTCTAAAAATTGGTGTTCTCAGACATTTTTCTTGAACCACACCTATTATGCACTATCTACAATTTGTAGTTTCAGTTTTTTTAAAGGAGAGCAAGAACTAAGAATTTACAAGATAATTTGCAGAATTCTTCTCAGTTTTTATTATCTCCTCAATTTTAGTAGTCTTCTTGTGTTTCCACAGCATTCAACTTAGTTTTATGAGAAAAGGCCAACTTTTCCCTTATTTCATCATATAAAATTAAATAAAGTGAATAAAATACAAAATTAAAATAAATTATATAATTACAAAAACAAAGAACTACTGGTAAAAAATACAGATTTAGAAATTAACTGATTTTTGGTAAGCCTTCAACTGTTGTAGAAGTTTCTAGAGGAACTACAACGTAGCCTACCAGCTGCAAGGTTTCAGTGTGCCTGATGCCTGTCTGGAGGCTGACAGAAGCACAGAGTGCTGGCTAGTCGAGGACCGTACAGAGAGCTTACAGTACATTTTTCTTTCATGATCCTTAAAGTCTGTGAAATTAACAAAAAAGTGGTATATGCTTTGACTTACTATTTATATCATGGTTCTTAGGTTAGGTGGCATGCTCAGGTACAATTTCAATGCAGTTAACCCCAACCCTCCCTCCCGCCCTTTCTCCTGTTTAGGAAACAGTGAGCTTGTATCCTTTCCAGATACACAGTATTGCGCTTTCAACCTTTGCATCTTTAATTGGCCCATTTGGAGGATTCTTTGCCAGTGGATTCAAAAGAGCTTTCAAAATCAAGGTGTGTGTTTATATTCTTTGTTACATTATTAGAGAACATAATTAAAGAATATAACTTAGTTCAAATTTGGTTCACTGTTGTTCTACATTAAGCCCTAGGCAAAAAAGTTTTATGTCCTATTTGTTTCAGTCTCACAGAAACGCTGCCTGGTTGATTTGGGTATTTGATTTCATTCTTTCTTGTTAGGTTTGGGTCTTGCCATGTTAATACATTTTAAAGTATCATGTCAACTTCTTTTATAGCAATAGCATGTGTCCCTTAATGTTGGGATAGACACAGAATCTTGTTCTACGGGGTGCTCACACAAGAGTCCAGCCATGAATTGTCTGAAGTTCAGTGTTGCCAGTCTCACTTGAAGGGACATGCAGAAGAGCCTTTGATGCAGCTGTCCAATCTGCTAGATCAGGGGTCAGCAAACTCTTTCTGTAAAGGGCAGATACGTTTACTAGGCCTTGGACACCATGCGTTCTATCACAGCTGCTCAACTCTGCTGTCGCAGTGTAAAAAGCCCCTCCATAGACAGTATGTCAGTGAATGGGTGTGGCTGGGTTTTAATAAAACTCCACTTACAAAAACAGGTTATGGGCTGGATTTGGTCTATGGGACATAGTTGGCTGAGCTCTGTCCCAGATACTTAAAATGATCCGTATGTTTTGTTTGAGTTGGATCATCATAAAGGGACACATTATCTCAGCCTCGCTCACATGGCTTCACTAAGTTAAGGTGGAAGGTTGTGCTATCAGGGGTTAGAGAGTAGCTGTGGAAGTTGGGGTGGTCAGGGAAGAGCCTAAGGAGGTAACGTTTGAGCAGAGATCTGAGAAAAGGATGAGTATAAGTCCTGCAGAGAAATCTAAGGAAGAGAGTCCTAGAGAGCACAGAGGAGTGAAGGAGCTTAGTCTGTTTGGAGGACAGCAAGGACAGTGTGGCTGTGGTAGAGAGTATGAGATGAGACTGCAGAGTTTGGTGGGACCAGACCACGTAGGGCCCTAGAGGCCAGGGAAATAAATTAGCTTAGTGAGCACTTGCCATGGGGAAGGTACTATGTTAGGTGGAATGCAGTATAGAAACGTGTACAAGACGTTGTCCCTGTTCTCAAGGTGCTCACCACCTACTAGGTGAGTTAATACATGGCCACAGAGAATTGCAGCAACAGCCATGCCAGGAAGAGTGTCTTGTAAAGGTTGCTAACAGCAGAGTGGAATTGGGTTACTGTGGCTCTCTTAATCTTCAATTAGAGGGGAAAAGAAGGAAGCAAATGGGTTGGCAAAAACTAACCAAAGAATTTTTCAATAATTGTTTTAAACATAGAAATTTTACATTTGGAATGGTATTTTCTTTCATGGTGTCTAATCCAAGGTTTTTTGCTGAACGGTGAAATTGTTTTCGCATGTCTGAAAAGAAGGTGCAATTGCTTTTGCATTTTAGATGTTTTTAGGTTGCCTGAGTGAACTAGAAGAGCAATTAGTCATTTCTATTTTCTGGGCATTCTGATGTATGAATTTATCTGTACAGAGTCATTTTCTGAGGCTTACTACTCATTCCGTCCATCTGGCCATTTAATGGACTGACGTATACCAAATAAGCTAGCTGTCTTGATTTTCTTTTTACCCCAATACTTTAAAAAGGGAAGAAATATTTATTGTACTAGTAAATGTTTATTTCAAAGTAAGAGCTATTAGGATAAACATGAGTCAGAACCAGTTGCACATCTGTCACCGACACTAAAAGAGCTCCCAAGTAGCTTCTGATTAAATAGGATAGGCTATAACAAAATTGGATTCATAATAGCAGATATAATTTTTATTTAGAAAAAGCTTTACTAACTAAAAAAAGTTAGGTCTATATTTAATTAATGTTCCATTAGTATTATTTGAATGTTGTGGGTCAATTCAGAAATCATTCTTGAATGGGTACATACTCAAAAGATGTGCTTTTAATCTGTTGGACATGTTCTAATAAGTTTATATTTAGTAGAAAAACCCAATAGTAAGGTATTTTCCTTACAGAGTCCATGATGCCAAAGAGGCACTTATACATAGGAATTTTATAGCAGGTGATTTTTTGAAAATTTGCTAATTTATTTGTTTGTTTTTAAAGGATTTTGCAAATACCATCCCTGGACATGGTGGGATAATGGACAGATTTGATTGTCAGTATTTGATGGCAACTTTTGTGCATGTGTACATCACAAGTTTTATAAGGTACTACTACATTAAAATTTTTTTTTGTAAGATGATTTTTTTGAGTTCTTTTTTCCATCAACATTAGTTTGAATAAGTTAACTTTCTCTGCCAGTGGTAATCTTGTAACATCAAAGTGAGTGGTGGCCATGGGAATTGTAGCCCTCAGCAGTAGGAGTTAAATTGTAATTGTAATTGTTTTAGAACAATTGTAATTTTTTAAGCTGTTTCAGCAACTTATAAAACAATATTGTATGTCATGGCCATTAACAGGCCCAAGTTAAAGACCCAGCTAATGTGGATGGTACTGGATGTGAAACGTAAGATTTAATTTCTCAGCTGTGGGCATTGCAATGTGAATACTAAAAATTGAAAAGGAGGAGAACATAATTCAGTTCTCTAATAATTGGTCTACTAATAATTGCTTGAGTGCCTATTATATGTTGTAGAATGTTCTAGGCATGGATATAGCAGAGAACAAAACAAACGAAGTCCCTGCCCTCAGAGCTTCTTGTTGAGAGGTTGGAGGGTCAGAAATGGACAATAAACAAGTAAATATGGCTTGTTAGATGGTTGTAATTGCCACGGAGAAAAATGAAACAGGCCAGGTGATTGGGGGTTGGGGGAGGTGCGGGTGTTGCTGTTTTGTGTAGGGTGTTTTATTCTTGCTATTAAACATTAGTGTTTTGGATCTACCCTGAAATACCAGTTTAGAGTATGAAGGCTAACCACATCAACCACATGTTAGCTTTATTTACATGCTCTCTGCAGGGGCTGAGTAGGCAGAACACTTATTAATAGCACTTGAGCCATAGAAAATGTCAGTTTCTTTCATAGAGTTATTTGGAGTGAAACTCATATTTAGAGATCCCTAAATAAACATTTTAAATATATACCCGCAGCGGTGTAAGAATTTTTGTATTAACTTTTATTTTGGGGGAGCTGTCTTGCCTAGAAGTTTATCAATTTCATTCCTTTTTTTCAAAGAATCAGCTTCTGGCTTTGTTAATTTTCTCTATTGTATATTTGTTGTTTATTTCCTCAATTTCCACTCTCTTCATTCCTTTATCTTTTCTAGGTTCGATTTGCTGTTCTTTTTCTAGCTTCTTGAGATAAATGCTTAGATTACTGGTTTTCAGTCTTCTTGCCTAATATATTCATCAAAGACAGCAAATTTTCTCTTAATTACCACTTTGTCCTATGAGTTATGATATTTGTATTTTCATTTTTCAGTTACAAATATCTTCTGATTTCCAGTATTATTCTTTGACACATGGGTTATTAAGACGTATATTGATTAGTTTCCCAACAAATGGAGATTTTTTTCATTCTCCTTCATTTACTGATACTTGCCTTAATTCCACTGTGGTCAGAAAACACAATCTTTATGATTTCATTTCTTAATATTTTTTGAGACTTGTTTTATGGCCCAGGATATCGTCTGTTCTGGAACATGTTCCATGTGCACATGAATCAAACATGCACTCTGCAGTTTTGGGATGTCGTGTTATATTGTCACTTAGGTGAAGTTTAAATCTGTGCTGTTTCTTTTTTTGTTTGTTTCAGTCTGCTTGTTCTATCAGGTGCTAAGAGAGCTTTGTTAAATTCTCCTGTTGTGATTGTAAATTTATCTATTTCTACTTCTGGTTCTGTCAATTTTTGCTTAATATATTTTGAGGTCGTATTAGGTATAGAGAATTTAGGATTATTATATCTCTCTGTTGCATTGGCTCTTTTGTCGTTACATTATATAGTGTCCATTTTACTACTTTCCTTAAAGGATACTCTGTTGGATGTTAGAATAGATCCATCAGCTTTCTTTTGGTTAGTGTTTGCATAGTATTTCTTTGTCTATCATTTTATTTTATTTTTATTTATTTATTTATTTATTTGTCCTCTTTTTTTTTTTTGAGACCGGCCACACTGCGCTCAGCCAGTGAGCGCTGTGAGCGCACTGGTCATCCCTATATAGGATCCAAACCCATGGCAGGAGCGCTGCTGCACTCTCCCGAGTGCGCCACGGGCTTGGCCGTCTATCCTTTTATTTTTAGCATTCCTTTATCCATATATCTAATATGTGTTTCTCTTTTCTCTTCTAACAAGCATATAGCTGACGGGGTTTTTGTGTGTGTGTGTGTGTGTGTGTGTGTTTTCTTTAATAGCCAGTTGACCATCTTTGTCTATTTAAAGGAAATAGTTAACTTATTTGCATATGAATTTTTAAAATATATATTTGGGTATTAGTAATTAGTGGTTTAATTTTTACAGCTCTGTTTTCAGAAGATGGCAGCTTTTTAGGACATTAATTCATACTCTTTTTTAAAAATATCTGCTATTCTCTCAGTAGAGAGAAGTCATGCTGAGCCACATTGTCTACCATTTGAAAGCAAATATTTAGACTATTAGAAATGCAATGAGCATGCCAGGATGCAGCTAGCTGTGAGCACCTGCTGACATAATTTTGCATTTAGCTGAATTTGCTAAAAAGCCTTCCTTTTCTCTGTGGGCCCCCGTTCTGGATTTATGTTATGAAGTTGCTGAATCTTTTGAAAAAGGTAATAAGATAAGATATGCTGTGTCCTGACTTGAATAGACTTTGGCCACGAGAGGCAGATAGCCACAGTTCTTTGGCAGATGAGTTGAGTCAGATACATGGAGGTGACCCATGAGTTGGCTAATCTTGGCCATTATACAATTTCTTAAATATAAGATTTCCAGAGTAACAAGTTCCTCTCCTCACCCTCATTGTGATATCACTGTATAGCAGACGTGCCTTTGTTGCTGGGATTTTCTACTTCATATTATTCTATTTGGACAGTCCTTATTATACATTATAAACTTATTTACCCACGTAAATGGCTTTCTCAGAATTCTGTGCCTTCCCCCATATGTTACTTATGTCTTGCTTTTTCCCATTGGATTTTACATACGACTGTCCATAAAAAGTAACCCATATTCTGCTTTTCCTATTCAAGTGGACTGTAGGAAGTACAAAGAATAAGTATGCATTAAGATTGGATTGCTTATTCTTAATTTGACAAAACAATATTTTAGAAATGTGAATACAGAAATGCAGGTGATCTCCAGTTTATTGATGGGTCGAGGTATAGAGTCCAGGTGGTGGGAAATTGCAGTCCCATGACTGTAGCAGGGTCACTGGAGGGAAAGAGTAGGAGTCGTGTTTGGGAACTCTTTCGACCCATAGTGCTCTGTGGGAGGGTGCAAAGAGAAGGGCTGGAGCCAGGAATGTCGGTGGAGTTTACCCAGAAGGAAGCACTTGAGGGCTCCTGCGCTGGGCTGTTGAGGTGTGTGTTATGGAGCAGGATGTGTGGGTGATGTCACTGCGCAGTAGCTTGGATTCTACCTGCTCTTGTTTCCTCCCTACTCAGACTGCTATGGGAGGTGGGAGAGGAGTAGAGGAGATCTGCTTAAATTTTGTTTCCTATATTGGGGTTTACCTAAGACTTTCTTTGAACAAAGGCTGTGGCACCTATTGTATATCCCAGTGGGGGCTTCAGTGCTAGCCTCAGGAATTTTGTGTTCTGTATCTTGAACATTCATAGTTCCCCAGGGATATTTCTTCAACAAAGTACCTTCCATCGTCTAAAGTTTCTTTGGAGCTAAAAATTTAAATGATGTTTTCATACCCTCTTTTTGGTTTATCCTACATCCACCAGACTCCTTTTCTTACAGGATAATTTTTGTGTCTTGTCCAATCTCAGGATTTGTTATCTATCCCCATCTCTAACTCAGGTTGCCCTCTTGAGAATTTTGAAGAACTCAGATCTACACCCCTAAATTGCCTTGTATTGTTCTTGTGTTTTGTGTTTGCATGTTTTTTTCTCATCTAGACTGTATGCTTCTTAAAGCAGACCTGTTCTCGGTTTTTTCTCCCCTTGATAGAAACGTTGGACATTAAAGTGAGCTCTTACGAAGAGCTGTTTCTATTCTGTAAAGATTGCTGCTTTACATATAAAGAGGGATACATTTCAAATTGGGGGTATGTGCTTCATTTAGCCCTGTTAAAATAGTGTGAACTTTGTCTTCTCTACTTTATCATCAGGGGTCCAAATCCCAGCAAAGTGTTACAGCAGTTGTTGGTGCTTCAACCAGAACAGCAGTTAAATATATATAAAACCCTGAAGACTCATCTCATTGAGAAAGGAATCCTACAGCCCACCTTGAAGGTATAACTGGATCCAGAGAGGCAAGGACTGACGAGAAGGAAATCTGCAGAAAAGCACTGACACATGAATTTTGTAATTGTAAAGAAAAATGGTTGAAAATGCAATAGAGGGAAGTTTTACAGACATGAATGTTTCTTCTCGAAAATTACTGTGAATATTTAACAAACACTTACTTGATCTAAGTTGTGAAATAAGTAGCAAATTGCCAGCAAAATATCCTGTACTTTTTCTAAGGTGTATTTTCTGATTTAAGTCTTTCTCTTTGCTAGTTTCATAATTTAAAAGACTTGTGTTTTTAAGAGTCGAATGCTATAAAGTTAGTAAATTGAGGATGTCTTCAGATTGCACCTGGCAGTGTGCTCTTTTGCACAAATATTTACTTTTGCACTTGGAGCTGCTCTTAATTTTAGCAAAATGTTTTATGTAAGGCACAGTAGGAAGTCAGCTCTCCTGCACTTCCTCCTCTTGTAGTCTCAAGTGTTTTCTGAAGGGCTGAGTTGGATTAAAAAATAAATAAAAAAAGATTGTTTGCCAGGGGAAAATATTCTGTTTTCAGGTGGGTTCCACATTCAGAAGAGGGAGGCTGAAATGTCTGCTTTTATCGGCTCATTTGAAAGAGCAGGCATCACACTCTACTGCTGATGAAATTGTTTGGAAAACACCACCTTGCAAAAACTTTTTGAAAGAAAGCAGAATTCTGCTGTGAAGAACACAATGTATGGTTTTCCACCGATTATCTCAAGAGGACAGTAGCTCCAGAGGCAGCATAAGACAGTGGCATGGGCCACCTCTTGGTTGAGTCTTCTCTCCTTGTTTCCCTGTGAACTGGTTTCCCTAAGTTCTGCAGGCACGAGCACACGGCAAGATCCGTACACAGGGTAGTGAGTCGTGTGGTGGCGAAGCAGAGCAGGTGATGCTCAGCTGAGCCAGAGTCACCCATCCTGGAGGAGGCTCCGCTTGCCTGTGTCCTGGCTGCCTGCCTCCTGGTTTCCAGGGCGTCCCGTGGCAGGGAAGGAGGAGGATCTGCCTGGAGACCCAATCCCAGACCAACTTCCTGGAAGTAGCTAATCTTTGTCTCATTGCTCTTTCGTATCATGTCATAGAATCTGAGGACATCAGCTGATTATTTTTTCTTCCAAGAATGAAAATCAAGCAGGAATGATTCCCACCAAGAACAAAAAGCACACAAATGCCATACCGTTCCTTTGGTGGACTGGATGCTGAAACCAGATGAGAGTAAATTTCTTATCAGTGGACGTGAGTGAGCTCCTCTCGCTGTGTACTCTCTACAGCCGTGTTTATTGTATTGAACAGTTGGCATTAAACCTTCCAAAACTGCCCAGTGCTCTTGGTTAAATGTTCAGAGGAAAGAAATAGATGTATTTTAAAGAATGTTTTGCTAATGAAAAGAGTAAATATTTTTTCTTAAATCAGAAACAAATTTCAATTATTTTATATTCCCATCCCACCACTATACCTAAAATAAAAGATTGTAGACATGCCTGGGTTCCATGGGTGTAACCTGTCACTCGCAGCCTCATCATGTGTACTCTGTGATTTTAGTAGATATAGTTACATTCAGTCCCAGGAGTCTCATTTCTTGGTCTGGCGTGCATTCTGTTGACTCGTCAGCACTGGATGTATTCAGTCAGTGTTACTTCATACTATCCTCCAAAAAAAAGTCTAGAATTGGCATTGGAAATGTTATTAAAGGAGAGAACAATCACTTTTAAAATCAGTCCACCAATGAGTTAACTTTTAACATCTCATGTTTTTATTTGCTTCATTAACAGCTCCAAATGTTGATCACAAAAGAATTGAAATACCAAAGTTTAAAAAATAAGATGAAAATTTTGTGATAGACATTTACATTGAACACTCGGTGGTTTGCACAAGTAAGAAATCCTGGGAGAAACACAGATCCCTCTGCATTTTTATTTAAAGTAATTGGTGAGACATTGCGGTACAGAATTATAAGAGGGCATTACTGAATGTATTATAAAGTCAATGTAATTATAAACAAAATATGAAGCTAGAAATATCTGGAGTCATAGTAATAGCTTTTCTCAAATATACTTTTAGAATTGGGTGTACATTATTCTATATGTAAAAAAATAAATTCTTAATTTTAACAGCTGTAAAGATTGACCTTTTTAGCATACTTTTATAGCATGTATGTTAAAATAGAATATATTTTAGCAAAAGAATGCCGTAAAAATCTGACTTTGATCATTTTTATATTTGCACTGTGAAGAGGGCTTAAATTCCAATGTTGCAATGTGGTGGTGAAAAAATGAAAAACTAGGAACTTCTTTTGCAGTAATGTTCCAAATTTGCCATTCTTGGAGGTACTGTAATGGTACTAACTGTTTGACTTTTTAACTTGTGGTATACAAATGTTTTCTCAATGCTTTCTCCCCTTGTGAGGGTGTGTATACATTTACTCTCTGAGAATAAAAAGACACCACACACCCCCTTTTTTCATTTACAGTATCTCTTCATTTGCACTTTGGTTTGAACAAAGACAGTGTCACCTTGTTCAATGGAAAACAAAATGTAGAAACAGTGTGTCCATACTGTATATGGGTGATAGCTTATGATGTATGTCAATCCATTCACTGAATCTTTTACTGAAACTGAGTTAGGAAAATAAAATTAAAACAAATCGTATTTTGACTTTGTGCCATTTTCTCACTAGAGAAGAAACATTCATTCATTTGACTAGTGTTTACAGAATAGTGAGGGATATACGTAAGTGTCATGTATATTCCATCACCACCGACAGTGACATCGTCAGGGCTGGGGATAAGTTCTGGTGATGAGTAAACATCTGTGTTTATTGAGAGGTGATGTCCTCTTAGTAGAAAGAGCACTGAACGTCTATAGTACTTCCACAGTGTGTCATAGCACATTTATTTTTGTGACTCTGACTAATGTCTGGTCCTCCCTCACTAGAACTGTAGGTTGTTCGGAAGCCTCACGGGGTCCATTTTGCTTGGCCATTGCCTTCCCAGTGTCTGGCCTAAGGCCTGTACTCTGCAGGTGCTCAAGCTTCTGCACCAGTGCATGGGCTTGGAGTCTGAAGACACAAATGTGCACATTGCCACTTGTCTTTTGCACAGCCCCTCCCTCCTACCCCAGAATTTTCATTTTGCATAGTTCTAAGGTGGGTTTCATCATTCCTAGCTAAAAGGGTTGTTTTAAGGATTCAGCAAAAATGCATGTGAAAGTGCCTTGATTTGTATCCATCATAGAGCTAATTAGTAATCCTTAGTTTCCTTCCTTCTTCCTATCTGCTCCTCTCCCATTGCCCACCTGCAGTGGGAAATGACAGGTTGGTAGGACCGAGCAGAAAGGTCACCACTGGTTTGGCCATGTCCTTTATGTGGTGGCTTTAGGTGGTGTTAACGTTGTGTTCACTTCAGCAAACCTGATTAGGTACCATATACCTAGCACTGTGCTTTGTTCCAGCACAAAGAAAAACATTCGAACTATTAGTTCTCTGCCCACTCTCTGAGACAGATAAGAGGTGGATGTTGGTTACAGTGATGACAGACATAGAAACCAGGTGCCCAGGAAAACAGGAGACAATCACCTGACCTCCATTCTAGACCTGCTGGTCCTGAGCATGGGGCACAGCCAGATCTGTCCCTCCTCTCCTGAAACGTACAAAGTTTAAAATCCACTCAAATAAGGAGGGGCTGTATTTGGTAATCTGTATGTAGTAGCTGCAAATAAAAAGCAGGTCTAGACAATTTAACCAAAATCAGAAGCCCTACCTTGATTCTTAGTCTTCTTGTACAGAAGTGAGGAACCTTCTGAAGTCATCAGATAAGCTTCGTTTCTCTACTGTAAAGATCGATGAGGGGGACACTTTCTGATGATGGCAGAGTGAGTTTCTGCGAGGAGCTGAGAGAAGCCAGTTTGGGTCTCCAATGTGTACAAAGGATATGGGCTGGTAAAGCAGTTTTGTTGCCCATAGAAAAAATCTTTGAGGATCTTATTGTCCTCTTTAGTGAGAGAATGAAATCTCAAACTGCCCTCTGTCATCTAATAACATAACAGGATATGGGATTTGGGGTTTAGCCTTTACTAAGACCCACCTTTCCGCTGTGCATCCAACTTGAGTTCAGTGGATCCAAATGGTTTTCTGTTCAAGAATGTGTAATTTTGAACTCGAGACAGGGCCTAGCAGAGTGATAAATTTGGAGAACATTCTTGTGTAATGTATTAAATATATTTTTTCTCATTTTAAATAAATCTCAAAAACTTGTAAAGAAAGGAACCAGAGGCTTCAGCTAGTCCAGGTAAGACAGATACATTTGAATTGTCAGAAACTCTACTTGTTTTCTTTTTTCACAATACTAATCTTTTACTAAGATATAATTTATATTCCATAACATTGTGCAACCATCACCAAATCCAGTTTGAGAAGATTTCCATGTTCTTACAAAAAGTTTCCCTTGGTGCCCATTTCCTATTAATCCCCACTCCAGCCCCCCAGCCTTAGGCAACCACTGGTCTGCTTCCTATCAGTATAAATTTGTCTTTTCTGACGTCTCATATAATTGGAATCATACAATACATAGTGTTTTACATATGGCATAATGTTTTTGCATGTACCAATACATCTTTCCTATTAATACCATATTTTTTTTTTTTTGTCTTTTTGTCTTTTTTTCGTGACCGGCAACGGATCGCAACCCTCAGTGTCGTGCCCGTACCGGACCGGGACCGGCAACGGGATCGCAACCCTCGGTGTTGCCCCCGCTCCTTGCTCAGCCAGTGAGCGGCCGGTCTGTATGTGGGATCCGAACCCTCGGCGGGAGCACCGCCGCACTTCCCAAACAGCGCACTGTAGCAGTGCGCCACCGGGCCGGCCCTTAATACCATATTTTGCTAACCCACTTACCAGTTGATGGACATTTGGGTTATTTCCAGTTTTGGACTCTTATGAAAAAGTGTTGCTATGAATATTTGTGGATATACATGTCTTCGTGTGGATGTGTCTTTATTTTTCTTGGGTAGATTGTGGTTTAATGTAAATTTCCTAATGGCCGGTGGTGTTGAACATCTTTTCATCTGCTTATTTTCCATTTGTAAATCTTTGATGAAATCTCTATATCTTTTGCCCATTTTTAAATGACATGTTTCATCTTAGAGTTGTAAGAGATCTTTATACATTCTGAATACAAGTCTCTTATCAGATATATGATTTGCAAATATTTTCTCTCAGGCTTTGGCTTTTCTTTATTTTCTTAATCATGCCTTTTGAAGGTGAACACCTTTTAATTTTGATGATGTCCAATTAATTTTGTCCATTGAGGACCATGGGAGTAGCCGAGCGTCAGCCGGGTGTGTCACCCAGACCCTCTCCAGACCTCTGCTGTGCGTGTGTGTGGCCTCATCCAGGAATACGCTTGGCCCAACCACACAATTCCAGGCTGTGGGGTCATTAGCCCTTCCCACTCAGCCTCTGATGAGGTTGTCACTTGCACTGACTTCAGTGTCCTAAATTGAGTGAATCCCATTTGACGGCCGGAGTCCTCACAGTCTGTCCTGCTCTGGGTAAACCTTCACACCAATGGAGCTGGCAGGGGAATGGGGACAGCCCTGGCAAGGGCTCCATGACCTACCACTGTGCTGCCATTTTTTAAGCATAAACACTTGCAGTGTTGTATACCTTTGTTCTGTTTCCAGAGCACTGAAATATCAATTTTGTCCAGTTTATAGATGCTTTTGGGGGAGAGAATTTGCCAATCTCTGTACTCATCCATGGCTGGAAGTCCCGCCTTGACAATTCTATTTTATAGCAGGAAGAGAAGGGACAGATCTTAATCCAAATACGATGACCTCGGGCCAGCCCGGTGGCGCACTGCTATAGTGTGCCGCTTGGGAAGCGCGGTGGCGCTCCCGCCGAGGGTTCGGATCCCACATACAGACCGGTTCCCGCTCACTGGCTGAGCGAGGCGCGGGAGCAGCACTGAGGGTTGCGATCCCGTTGCCGGTCCTGGTCCGGTACGGGGGTGACACTGAGGGTTGCGATCCGTTGCCGGACACGGAAAAAGACAAAAAAAAAAAAAAAAACAAATACGATGACCTCAGCTGAAGAGTAGTGACCAGGGGTACACACTAATATTAAAAAAGAAAACTAGGGCCAAAGAAGTTGATGGAAGTTCCCAGTAAGAGCCCTCACTAGAGTGGGGAGGCTTTGCTCCCGTGGCCCGTGAGCTACAGCCCCCAGGGAGGCAAGGGCAAGAAGAGGGCTTCACGCCGATCCTCGGTCCCCTCCCTCTTTTTTGCAGTAGGTAGCACTTGCTGGCACCCTGCATGGGGGGTTCAGTTCTAAAGGCTTTAAAGAATTCCAAGAGGGTAAGATTTCCTTGAATATAATATATACTGATAAGAATATTACCACCGTCCCCTGGAACCTTTTCATCCTCTAAATGGTGTATATCCTGTGTCCACTAAACACGGGTATGGAACTGCACTAGGATGAGACATCATTTTAGTACCTAAAGTAATTAAATGCACCCCTTCCCTCAAAAGAATTTCCAGGTGAGCTGGGAGACATTGTAGAAGATGCTGTGATTGTGGTCTACTCAGGAACGGCCCCTAACCTGGACTGAAGCTGGGGGGTGGGGGAACTGAGAAGGGGAGGTGGTAGGGAAAGTCCAGGCAGACCTGGTACATTCCGAGGCTGCTAGGACAGGCTGTCACTGTCACCTATTTTCTTACAGATACCTCCTTGAGAGTATATTGGAAAGTGGCCTGTCCCCAAATCAAAGAGACTTACATTTTAATGAGAACTCCAACATTACATTTTAATGAGAACAGACAGACAGTGTGGGTTGGTTGGGGCTGCTCCCTGAGAACAAAGCTGGGGGGATGTAGAATGACGCAGCCACTTTGGAAGACAGTCTGACAGCTCCTCAGACTGCTGGATGTAGAGTTATCATATGAGTCGACCACTTCACTCTCTGGTATATGCCCAAGAGAAATGACAACATCCATCCACTCAAAGACCTGTAAATGAATGTTTACAGCAGCTTTATTCACAGCAGCAAAAAATGGAAACAACCTGAATGTCCACGTGTGGGGAGTGATGAATGAAATGTGGCGTAGTTACACAGTACTCCCTGCCATAGAGAGGAGTGAAGTGCTGATAATGCCGCAAGATGGACGACCCTCCAAAATTTTAAGTGAAATGAGCCAGTCACAAAAGACCACATATCGCATAATTCCATTATGTGAACTGTCTGGAATATGCAAAACGGCAGACAGGAAGTAGGTTAGTGGTCACCAGGAGCTGGGGAGAGGAATGAGGGGTGACTGCTAATGGTAAGAGGTTTCTTTTGGGGTCATGAAAATGTTCTAAAATTAGATTGTGGTGGTGGTTGCAAAACTAAATATACCAAACACACTGAATTAAACTGATGATTTTTATAGTATGTTAATTTTGTCTCCAAGTTGTTAGAATATTTGATTGGAGAAGCTGTAATGACGTGATCTGGTGAGCAGGCAGGGGTAGGGAGCACTCGGACCTGGATATGGGGCAGGGAAGGTCTGCTAGCTGACCCCATACTTGGGAACCCCACAATGAGTCCAGCACCTCTCCTCTCTGCAGGGTAGGGTTGGGGGGTGGGTGCTGCCCTGAATATTTCAGCCTC